TTTCAAATTTGAATTTCAAAAATATAACAGTATAATGTACTAATAGTCTAATACGAAAAAAAAAGGCGGCTATATAGCTGAACCGACAGCTATATAGCTGCCCAGCCTGCCCCCCTAACCGGCAACTGTAGCCTTCTGCCTAGGCAGCAGGTTACAGCTGCCTAAGGCAGCAGGTAAAAAATTTTTTTTTTCAAAATTTTTTTTTTCTTTTATTTGCTCGGGCCGAGCATTTTTGTCACGGGCCATTTTTGGCCCGTGACACGAGCCGGCCTCTTATTTTGAGGCTCGGCCCGAGCCTAGGCTCGATCCCTACGAGCCACGAGTCGGGCGGGCTCGGGCTTTTTCCGAGCCGAGCCATGAGCCGCCCGAGCCACCGAGGCTTTTGGACACCCCTAATTCTATTTAACCTTTCTTTAAAGAAATACGATCAAACAGTTCCCAGTCACCATCTTGGTAAATTAAACCATCCATATAATACAAAAAGAGAAACAATAAGCAATGCACATGACTTTGCCAAAAGATCCATGCAATGTGAAGAACCTTTTACTCATAGTAAATCCTGTCAATGATAGGCTAATTTTGGTTTTAATTCCTCACATGATTATGCCTAAACTGTAGCAAAAAGAAAGGAAAATCACAAATCAACATTTGGCTGACTAATTTGTTTATAAATTCAGACTAGTGGCCTTTTCTCTGTCTTCTTCATCTGCTCCATTTTCAGGCGCCTTCACCTTTTTCGGATGACTTTCTACCCGAGTACTGGATGTGACAGCCTGGTTAGGAGGTTTAGCATTAGGGTCAATCTTCAGTATAATTCCCATTACTATGAGTAACAGCCCCGAACCATGTTGTTTAGTAAGAGGCTTCGTGAAAATTATGTACAACAACAATCTTGCACTCAAACAACCATTCATTTTGTTAAGATTTGGGGTCCATCTTAATAAGATCGACCTTATTAAGAGGAGTGTCCCAATTCTTTATATATTGGTCCTTATTTCGGTATTTTACCGATGTGGGATTATATTCCCTTAATATGCCTCCGCAAGATGGTGGCTCGTTTGAGCAGATCAATCTTGAAATCCGCGTGCTCATTTTTAGGGACTTAATCGGATCGAATCGCTCGTTGGAGTTTAATGGGCTCTGATACCATGTTAGAATTTATTAATTGAGAAAACACTCCATAATAGGAGGAAGACAAACTTCCATAGGAGGGATTGGAGAATATGATCCAATGATTTATTAATGAATACAATGGCTCTATTTATAGAGAAAAAGACGAGTAATTAACTGAGTAATTAACTGACTAATTTGCTTATTAATAGGCTAATCACTAACTAATTAACAAATAAACATGAGCTGGAATATTTTGGAATTAACTAGAATGTATTTCTAACACGCCCCCTCAAGATGGACTATGGAGATCAACAATAGTTCATCTTGAAGATTAAAATTTATTGGCTCTGCTTCACTTTGAGATTATGCCTCCAGTTCTCAATTCTAGCCATATGTCACCAGATCTGATGGAGAAATAAGAAATAGTGGAGGCTCTGACCATCCATAAAGATCTCTTAAAGTTCAGAGAACCAAAATATGAAAGAGGAGAAATTTTATTGCAAAGAATCAAGGACGAATTTTGATGTTGCTGCCGCCATTTTTTGAAGATAGGAACTCAACCTTTGTCTGGAATAACACTTTCCGAAATTATGCTAAAATAGAAGAAATCAGAGATCTGCTTTCATTTGAGCAAAACACAAAAAATGAGGATGAATTAAATCTCAGAAACGAAAAAGCAGCAGGAAGAAATCCCTGCTCTGATACCATGTTAAGATTTGGGGTCCATCTTAATAAGGTCAACCTTATTAAGAGGAGTGTCCCAATTCTTTATATATTGGTCATTATTTCGGTATTTTACCGATGTGGGATTATATTCCCTTAACACATTTCACTGAGAATGACATAGTTTTATTATCATACATTATCTGCCTTCTATATTAACAAAGATATAATTTTAAGAACATGTCAGTAAAGTGTATCTTACGGTTGCTGTCTCTTTAAATGGTTCTACAAAAATATGACTCCAGCTGCGCTGATATAAAAAAAAGGCGAAGAAAAGGTCTTCTTAGAGTGAGTTTCATTACACTAAGGATTCTTCAGTAATTGCTTTCTGGAAAACATTGCACCAAATGGACATCTAATCTAATGACCCAATTGTATTGGCCATACCCACCACCGCCATGCTCGTTTGCTGCAAATCAGGTACCACGTTGAAATTTTTTTTCCTTCTGTGCAACCAGAAATGATAGCGATCTATGGTACCACAACTAGTTGCTCCTCCACATGTGGTGGTGCCCAAAAGTGCTTAGAGAATATAGCAACAGATACAACCTCATACAGAGTGGTAGAACAAGTGCATTTCACAATCGATTTATTGATTGAAGCCATTAATTAATAAAAATTCATAATGAGAGATAAAGACTATATATAGCGAAAGAAAAGGATTAGATTTAGTTTTATTGAGAGGGACCCACAAAAGGAAAGATATGAAACAGAAACAGTTGTTGGCAAGAGAATATATACGTAAAGGAAGGGTTGTTGTTACAACCCAATTTTTCTTAGTCAAAAGTCAAGAGTTGAATTTTCAAAGTCAAAGTCACATATGGACTTAAATGAAATAAATGACTTTATTGGGACTTGAATTGATTAAAATATTTTATTGGGGTTTATTTTGCAATTGACAATATATGAGGGTTATATTGGATACAATTGGAAGTTGAAAATTTACTTATACATTTTTTTGGAAAGTTTAGGATTTAAATATTAGCTCACATTAGAGAAGAGGGACTTTTCTTGCAATTTGGAGTTAGTGGGTTTTTAATGCCTTTATCCATCACTTTTTCTCTCATAAATCTCACACACACACACACTAGAAGGAAGAAAGAACCGGCAGAGAAGAAGAAAAGAGGGAAAGAAAAGAGGGAAGAAAAAGAAGAAAAGGAAGGAAAGGAAAAAGAAAGGAAAAGAGGTAGTGGCTATTCCAATTTCATTTTCAATTTGTCTAATTTCTTTAAAAGATATGGTATGTTTTATGCTTAAATTTTTAGAGTTTTGATTTTATTTGTTTAATTTTCAGATTTTAAGGAAGGAATATATATGTTTTCAAGTCAATATTTTTGAATTGGAGATGCTATTTACACTAAGGTAAGAAATACCAATTTTGGGCAAAACCCTAGAATTTTCATTTGGGTTTTTGAATGAGTTTAGTTAACGGGAAAATTTGTAAGGATGAAATACTCATTTGAAGGCATGAATTTATGGATCAAGATGGGAAATTAAATTGGTTAAATTATGATTATTAATTTTACTAGTTTGGAAGAAGGAATTATTTTTATGTTTGGAGTGAAGATTATTGTAATGAGTTAGCTATTAAGAAATGGACTAGAAAGTGGAATTAGTTTGAAGTGATTAAAGGAAATTGGGGAAAATATTATTCAAGTATCGAGAAGTCAAGTTTTAGTATTCGATTACTAGTATTAAGAAATACTTAGTATGGAAGTTGTTAAATTAGTTATTTTATATCGTATTTCAGGTGGTAACGTGAAAGCTGTGCAAGGCTGGTAAAATTAAACCAGATTGCTATTCATAGATCTGTGAGTGGATAAAAATTATTTTTTTAGAAATAAGTCTTCTTTAAATTTTAAAATTATTTATTTTATAAAGTTGACTTCATAGCATGATTTTCAGAATAAAATAGATTTTATTATCAATTGTTTTTAAAATCAAATTCAGTTCAGTTAAATTATTTTAGTAGCATGTTATATTCTTATTACATGTTTCAGTATAGTTAAAGTTATTTCTAAAAACCACCAGAAAGTACCCAGGTGATTTTACCCCAGTTTACACTAATGTGAATGTGTTTCCACAGTGTATGACTAATTATAGTGATTTTATCCGCTCTGCACTATTGTGAATATGTTTCCATAGTGTATGACCAGATTATCAGAGGTCTTTGGGACCCACTCTCGTACACACATAGGCTTTGGGCCGTGTGCTAGGGTGATTAGCCTTTGGGACAGCTCTGCGTACGTATGACCAGATTATCTAATTATCAGCTATCAGATTATCAGATTTGAATTGCTTTGCCTTGTACATCGAGATTACTCTGTACATGTGTAAGGCTATTCATTGGGTACTCTTTATGGTGTGATTTTTCAGTACTTATTCAGTTCTCAGATTTCAGATTATAGAAGTCAGTTAATTCAGTTTTCAGAATAAAGCTTTCAGCTT